GAGGGAAGGAGTGCGGTAGGGGAAGAGGCGGTAGTAGGGTACCGACTCGTCGAACGTGACGTCCTGGGAGGACAGAACACGGCGAGAGGTGGGGTGGTAGAACTGCCACCCAGGGGCGTCGGGGGGGAACCCCAGGAAGACGCAGGGAGAAGCGCGAGGGGACAGCTTGTCCGCAGACAGGTCGCGGACAAACGCCCGAGATCCCCAGACCCGGAACGCCGACGCATCGCCAACCTTCCCCGTCCACAGCAGGGCTGGGGAGGTCTCCGGCCTGGAGACCCTGGGGTGGAGGTTGATCTGATGCGCTGCGTACCTGACCGCAAACGGCCACAGAAAATGGGGGGCAGCCGCATGCATCATGGACGTACGGGTGACGTCCATGACCATGCCAATGCGGCGCTCAGCAATCCCATTTTGCTGCGGAGAGTCCGGAAGCGTGAAGGACTGGCGGATGCCTCGCGCACGACAGTAGGTACGTAGAAGGGCAGAGGAGAACTCTCCGCCTCTGTCCGAGTGCAGACGCAACACAGGAAAGTCGGAGCCAAAGCTCTGCCTGAGCTGAAGACGAGCAGCGTGGATCCAGTCGATCAGCACCTCAGTGACCTCACCCTTGCTGCGCAAGGGGAAGACTGTGGTGTAACGCGAGTAGTCGTCAACAACGAGCAGGAAGTAGCGCTCCTGACCCTGTCCAAGGACGCGGGCTGGGCCCCACACGTCCATGTGAAGCGTCTGCAACGGGGCCTCTGTCGGAGGAAACTGGGAGGAGTGAGGGGCAGCACGCTGGCGCCCCTCGACACAGGGGACACAGGCAGGGCCAGGGCCCTGAGGAAGGGGAGGGAGGGACCGGGGAAGACCAGACACAAGAAGACGGGAGGCCATACCTCTGAGCCGAAGCAGAGAGGGGTGGCCAAGGCGGTGGTGCCAGAGGAGGGTCTCGTGAGATAGACGACGACACGAACAGGGGGCAGACTCAGGGCCAAACCTGGACGCTGCAGCAAACACCTGACCAGACGAAGGGACCCTACCAGACTCAGTACCTGGAGGAGAAGCAGTGGTCAGTGTGTACAGGCTCGACCCCGGCCGACGTGTAAACGTAGCCAGGTGGCGACCTGTGCTAGCCTCCGTGCAGTGTGTCACCCGCTGACGAGCAGGAGTGAACTGGTGGACACCCACATCCTGTAGGTCAGCACCACTCACCAGGTTCGTCGAGAACGAGGGGAGGTAGAGACCAGACAGGGTGCCAGAGGGGGCCGCCGGACACGGAAGGACCGTGGAGAAGCGAGACAGGACAGGCCCCCCAGAGGGGTCAGCCAGGGACACCGCAACCGGCCGACTCAGCGGCGTGAGAGTGGTGCGGTCCCGAAAAAAGGAGCGAGACGCTCCAGAGTCAAGGGTGAAGGTGTGAGAGGCCGAAGCCGACACAGTACCTGAGAGGGCAGACTCACCAGTACCTGAGAGCACAGACGCACTGGCACCTAGAGCAGCAGCCTCACGAGTACCTGACGCAGCAGTACCAATGCCCGGGTCGGGCGGGAAACACCGGTAACAGTCATCCTCATCACTACCAGTCACAACATACATAGCAGAAAGAATAGCATCAAAGTCAAGATCATAAATAGCTACACCAGCCCTAGACACCTCCCCCCAGCGGGGGATCTCAGCGGCCTCCGGAAACTGCTGTCGCCAGGCGTCGGTCAGGCGGCCAAAGCAGCGGCGGGCTGTGTGGGTGCCTCCACACCTCTCCCCCGCACGGTCGCCAGTGCGAAGAACGTAGGGGCAGGGACCAAACGCACCACCACGCTAACGCTGCAAGTACCACTCACGGAGCTGCTGAGGGGCGGGGACGGTGCGAGAGCGCTGCTGCTGCTGTGGCTGCTGCTGCTGCTGCTGCTGCTGCTGGCGCTGACCACCCCCAGAGCTGCTCCGCTGAGACGAGCCACCCCGACCCCCGCCGCCACCGCCACCCCCGCCTCCACCGCCACCCCCGTCTCCACCGCCACCGCCCCCACCGGCACCCTCACCCCCGCCTCCTCCGCTACCTCCTCCGCCGCCACCTCCGCCTCCACCGCCTCCACTAGTACCTCCACTCCCGCCACCACCTCCACCGCCACCCCCACTCCCCCCGCCACCCCCACCTCCCCCGCCACCGCCCCCTCTAGCTCCACCCGCTCCCTTGCCCCCTTTGCCCTTGCCATTGCGGCGTCTACCGCTGGGGGCAGACGCCGCATCGACCGACTCAAAACCAGCGAGGTCGGCCGCAGCGGCAGAGGCGACAGAGGGCAGCAGGGGGGAAGGAGAACACCCCTCAAAAATGGGGGTGCGAGGGTCACCCCGAGAGGCCCCTACAGCGACGATGCTCTTCTCAGCCGCTAGCAGGGACTCCTCAAGGAGGTCGACAGTGAGGGTGGTGGGACAGACAGAGAGAAACTGGTCCCTAACTACACGAAGGGACTCAGGGAGACGAGTGACGAGAAAGTAGAGAGTGATGTACATGGGAGGAGGGTTTGCGGCGCGGAACTCAGCAGGAAGGGCAGCGCGGTAGCGAGCGTCACTAGCGCGGAGGTGGGTAACGAGGTCAGCAACAGTGGGAAAGGCAGCGAGGTCAGGGAAGAGAAACGGTAGCATGAGGCGGCTAAGCGTAGCGGAGGAAGGGGAGGAGTAGCGTGCAACTACAGCGTCGTACAAGGCCTGAGCGGTCTTGCACTGACTGAAGTGGGCACGCTCGGAGGAAGGGAGGTGGCGACGCACAGCAAGACGTGCAGCAGCATCACGGGTCGCCCACTTGGAGCGAACGGCGGGGTCAGCATCAGCAGGAGGGGCAGGGACAGCTCCAGAGACAAAGTCAAAGAGAGAGACCTCATCTATCGCATCACACAGTAAGTACAGCTGCAGGTCTTCAATCCAGACTGCAAAGTCAACGGCTCTACCCTCAGCGTCAAAAGCTAGGACGGTGGGGGTGGCCATGACAGCAGCTGACAGTCTCACCGGGTAGGAAAAGTCGGGTAGGTCAGCGGCACTGTAACACAGCCCAGGAGCAGCAGTGGCCCCACAGGAGCAGGAGTGCGGCTCCACTGGCGGCTCGGGCGGCTCGGGCGGCTCGGGCGGCTCGGGCGGCTCGGGCGGCTTGGGCGGCTCGCGCGGCTCGGGTGACGCAGGGTCTCACAGGCGGCGCGGGCGGCTGCAGGGGCGGCTCACGGGCGGCTGCACGGTGGCGCGGCGGGTTGCAGCACGGGCGGCGGGGCCGACGGTGGGCCGTAGCGGGGCTGTAGCGGGGCCGGCGGCGGCCTGTAGCGGGGCTGTAGCGAGGCTGTAGCGGGGCCGACGGCGGGCTGTAGCGGGGCCGGCGGCGGGCTGTAGTGGGGCCGACGGCGGGCTGTAGCGGGACCGGCGGCGGGCTGGGGCGGGGCCGACAGCGGGCTGTAGCGGGGCCGGCAGCGGGCTGTAGTGGGGCCGACGGCGGGCTGTAGCGGGGCCGACGGCGGGCTATAGAGGGGGCCGACGGCGGGCTGGAGCGGGGCCTACGGCGGGCCGACGGGGTCTAGGCGGGGCCAACGAGGGGCCGTAGCGGGGCCTAGGCGGGCCGACGGGGCCTAAGCGGGGCCGACGCGGGGCCGTAGCGGGGCCTAAGCGGGGCCGACGAGGCCTAAGCGGGGCCGACAGGGCCTAAGTGGGGCCGACGAGGCCTAAGCGGGGCCGACTAGGGGCCTAAGCGGGGCCGACGAGGGGCCTAAGCGGGGCCGACGAGGGGCCTAAGCGGGGCCGACGAGGGGCCTAAGCGAGAGCACGGCGGTAAGGGCGACACGGAGGGTTGCTAAAAAAAAAAACGCGCGCCTCGGGGCGCGCTTCGGTGGGCCCTAGGAACAGTCCCTAGGAAGGGACCTGCTCTGATTCCATGAGAAAATATGAACGAGGATGAAATGACTATGAACGAAGTGAGTACAAATAGGAAACCCTAATTTGGGTTGTACCCCCTATGGGATACCCCACTATAGCCTACAGAAACAAGTAAGCTATATGTTCTGACACATGGATCACTATAGGCGTAGGGAAAAGCATTCAACAACCTGTATATTATTGTATGTTCGAGTGGCCCACGTTCAAATGCACATATTTGAGCATTTTTGGCTTGGTTCGTGCGCAAAGAAAAGTTCGGCGCCTATAATTTCGACCGTTTTTGCCGACAAGGGCTTAGAAAGCACATGGATCACTATAGGCGTAGGGAAACGCATTAAAAAACCTGAATGTTATTGCATATTTGTGTGGCCCACGTTTAAATGCACATATTAGAGCATTTTTGGCTTGGTCCAGGCGCAAAGAAAAGTTCGGCGCCTATGATTTCGGCCGTTTTTGCCGACAAGTGCTTAGAAAGCATATAGATCACTATAGGCGTAGAGAAAAGCATTCAACAACATGAATGTTAATGCATATTCGAGTGGCTCACGTTTAAATACACCTAATAGAGCATTTTCGGCTCGGTTCGTGCGCAAAGAAAAGTTCCGCGCCTATGATTTCGGCCGTTTTTGCCGACAATTGCTTAGAAAGCCCATGGATCAATGTAGGCGTAAAGAAAAGCATTCATCAACCTGAATGTTATTGCATATTCGAGTGGACCACGTTTAAATACACATATTAGAGCATTTCTTGCTTGGTTCGTGTGCAAAGAAAAGTTCGGCGCCTATGGTTTCGGCCGTTTTTGCCGACAAGTGCTAAGAAAGCGCATGGATCACTCTAGGCGTAGGGAAAAGCATTCAACAACCTGAATGTTATTGCATATTTGAGTGGCCCGTTTTCAAATGCACCTATTAGAGCATTTTTGGCTTGGTTCGTGCATAAAGAAAAGTTTGGTGCCTATGGTTTCGGCCGTTTTTGCCGAAAAGTGCTTAGAAAGCGCATGGATCATTATAGGCGTAGGGAAAAGCATTCAACAACCTGAATGTTATTGCATATTCGTGTCAAACTTATATGCTATAGTCCGTGTAGGCTGTAGTGGGGTAGTTCATATGGGGTACAACACTTTAGGGTTTCCTACTTGTACTCCTCATGCCGCTCAATGCAATCATTCCTCATTTCTTCACATGGTATGGAGCAGGTTCCCTAGTGGGAACGTTTCCTAGGGCCCACCACTGAAAATCGATATTTTTTTTCTCCTGCCCGGAGCGCGCTTCCCTCCTGCCCGAGTCGCGCCTCGTGTGCCCTCCCTCCCGTCGCGTCCCTAGCCCTTAGCGGCCCGTCGCGCCCTCCTCAGGCCCCTCACGGCCCCTTTCGCGGCCCCTCACGGCCCCTCTCACGGCCCCGTCGTCGCCGCTCTAGGCCCCGTCGCCGCCCCTCTAGGCCCGTCGCGGCCCCTTCGCGGCCCCATTGCCGCCCCTAGCGGCCCCGTCGCCGCCCCTCTAGGCCCCTCGCGACCCCTTCGCGGACCCGTCGCCGCTCCTCTAGGCCCCTCGCGGCCCCTTCGAGGCCTCGTCGCCGCCCCTCCAGGCCCCTCGCGGCCCCTTCGCGGCCCCGTCGCCGCCCCTTGCGGTCCCGTCGCCGCCCCCTCTCGGCCCCTTACGGCCCCTCTGCGACCCCGTCGCCCCCCCTAGCGGCCCCGTCGCCGCCCCTGGAGGCCCCGTCGCCGCCCTTCGCGGCCACCTCGCCGCCCTTAGCGGCCCCGTCGCCGACCCTAACGGCCCCGTCGCCGACCCTAGCGGCCCCGTCGCCGCCCCTAGCGGCCCCGTCGCCGCTCTTCACGGCCCCGTCGCCGCCTCTACCGGCCCCTTCACCGCTGAGCCGCCCAGCAGCCGAGCAGCCGAGCCAGCACGCCGCCAGCCGCCCAGCAGCCGAGGCGCCCGACAGCCGAGCCGCTGAGTCGCCCAGCAGCTGAGCCGCCGAGCCGCCGCGCTGCCCAGCAGCCGAGCCGCCTAGCAGCCGAGCTGCCGAGCCGCCGCGCCGCCCAGCAGCCGAGCCGCCCGACAGCCGAGTCGCCGAGCCGCCTGACCCCCGAGCCGCCGTGCCGCCCAGCAGCCGAGCCGCCGAGCCGCCCTGCCGTCGAGCCGCTACTGTTCCTACCGGCGCGCCCCGGCCCTACTTCCTTGGACTGGTGAGCTCACTCCCTACTAGGCCACTGAAGTCATGGCTACCCCCAGTGTCCTTACCTTTGATAATGAGGGTCGTGCTATTGACTTTGAGGTCTGGGTCGATGACCTCCAGCTGTTCCTATAGTGCGATAGGGCAGACAGACTCTCCCTGTTCGATCTCACCTCTGGTGTCTCTCCTGCTCCGCCTGCTACTTCTGACAGCACTGTTCGCTCACAGTGGGCCACGCGCGATGCTGCTGCCCGTCTTGCTGTGCGTCGCCACTTACCGACCACTGAGCGTGCGCACTTTAGCCAGTACAAGAGTGCTAAGACCTTGTACGACGCTGTAGTTGCACGCTACTCTTCCCCTGCCACTGCTGCGCTTAGCCGCCTCATGCTACCGTACCTGTTCCCTGACCTTGCTGCCTTTCCCACAGTCGCTGACCTCATTACGCACCTTCGCACTAGCGACACTCACTACCGCGCTGCGCTTCCTGCTGAGTTCTGTGCCAAGAACCCCCCCCCCCATGTACATCACCCTCTACTACATAGTCACCCGGCTCCCTGACTCCCTTCGCTTAGTCAGGGACCACTTCCTCTTAGTTTGCCCCACCACACTCACCGTTGACCTCCTCGAGGAGCGCCTCCTAGCAGCAGAGAAGAGCATAGTCGCTGTAGGAGCCTCTCGTGGTGACCCTCGCACCCCCGTCTTTGAGGGGTGTTCTCCCTCCCCCCTCTTGCCCTCTGTTGCTTCTCCTGCTGCAGCCGACCTCGTTGGCTTCGAGTCGGTCGGCGCTGCGTCTGCCCCTAGCGGGAGACGCCGCACAGGCAAGGGCAAGGGGGGCAAGGCCGTTGGAGGGGCTGGCGGGGGCAGTGGAGGTGGTGGTGGAGGCAGTGGAGGGGGTGGGGGTGGTGGTGGGAGTGGTGGCGGGGGTGGAGGTGTCGGTGGCAGCAGTGGAGGCGGAGGAGGCGGCGGTGGTGGCGGAGGGAGCAGAGGCGGCGGAGGTGGCGGAGGCAGCGGAGGTGGCGGAGGCGGCGGCGGCAGCGGTGGAGCTGGTTGCGGCTCTGCGCAGAGGAGTGGCTCCGGTGGTGGTCCGCGCCAGCAGCAGCAGCGCAGTCGTGAGACCCTGTCCCCTCAGCAACTTTGTGAGTGGTACGCTGGGCGTCAGCGGGGTGGGGGTACTGGTCCCTGCACCTACGTCCTCCGTACAGGCGAGCGCGCTGGTGAGCAGTGCGGGGGCACGCACTCCACCCAGCGCTGCTTCGGCCGCCTGACGGACGCTTGGCGTCATCAGTTCCTTGACGCCACTGAGATCCCTCGCTGGGAAGAGTTGTCTAGGGCGGGGGTTGCTATCTTTGATCTTGACTATGACGCGATTCTTGCTGCCATGTATGCTGTGTCTACTAGTGATGAGGGTGACTGTTACCTGTGCGTTCCGCCTGACCCGGGCATTGAGGCTGCTGCTCTAGGTGCTGGTGAGGCTGCTGCTCTAGGTGCTAGTGCGTCTGCTGCCCCATGTGCTGGTGAGTCTGCTCTCTCAGGTACCACGTTGGCTCAGGCCTTGCACACCTTCACCCTTGACTCGGGTGCTTCCCACTCCTTCTTTCGAGACCGCACCACGCTTACGCCGCTTAGTCGGCCGGTTGCGGTCTCCCTGGCGGAGCCCTCTGGGGGTCCTGTCCTTGCTAGCTTTTCCACTGTCTTACCGTGGCCGGCAGCCCTCTCTGGCACCCTGTCAGGTCTCTACCTCCCCTCGTTCTCTACGACTTTGGTGAGTGGAGCTGATCTACAGGATCGGGGGGTTGACCAGTTCACGCCTGCGAGTCAGCGGGTGACCCACTGTACGTGTGCTCGGACGGGCCGACACTTGGCCACGTTTACCCGTCAGCCGGGGTCGAGCCTGTACACACTGACTACTGAGTCTCCTCTGGTTGCTGAGTCTGGTCAGGTAGCTGCGTCGAGTCAGGTGTTTGCTGCAGCGTGCAGGTCTGGTCCTGAGTCTACGCCCTGCTCGTGTCGTCTCCTGTCCCACCAGACTCTCCTTTGGCACCACCGCCTTGGTCACCCGTCCCTGCCTCGTCTCCGAGGCATGGCCTCACGTGTCCTTGTCTCTGGTCTTCCCCGGTCCCTCCCTACACACACCCCCAGTTTCACCCCTAGCTCCACTCCCACGGCACCCCCCTTAAACCCTAAACCCTAGGCTCCCACACACCCACCCCCCTCAGCGGCAGCTGCAGCAGTGGGAGATGGAGGAGGAGGAGGAGCTTCAGGTTACTCACACCGGTCACCACATGCTCGCCACCCCACACCCCCACCACCGCGGAACGTACGGCGGAATGGGAGCAATGGGCAGCACGGAGGAGGGGGGGGGGGGACGGGCTGCAGGGACGGGCCGCGGGCTGCTGCAGGTGCGGGGTGCTCCAGGGGCGGCTGCTGCAGGTGCGAGCTGCTCTAGGGGCGGTTGCTGTAGGCACGGGCTGCTCCAGGGGCGGCTGCTGCAGGTGCGGGCTGCTCCAGGGGCGGCTGCTGCAGGCACGGGCTGCTCCAGGGGCGGCTGCTGCAGGTGCGGGCTGCTCCAGGGGCAGCTGCTGCAGGCACGGGCTGCTCCAGGGGCGGCTGCTGCAGGTGCGGGCTGCTCCAGGGGCGGCTCCAGGGGCGGCCGCTGCAGGTGAGGGTAGGAGGACGGGGGGGAAGAGCGCGGCCCCCAGGGCGCTGACCAGAAAGGGAGCCGCGCGGGCCCCTAGAGTCGCCGCGACGGGCGACGGGAAGGGCGCCGTGCGCCCCCCCCCCCCCCGGAGCGCCACGACGGGCGACGGGAAGGGGAGGCCGCGCGGGGCCCCAGAGCCGCCGCGACGGGCGACGGGAAGGGCGCCGCGCGGGCCCCCCCGGAGCGCCACGACGGGCGACGGGAAGGGGAGGCCGCGCGGCACCCGTGGTCGCCACGACGAGCGACGAAAAGGGCGCCGCGCGGGCCCCCCCGGAGCGCCACGACGGGCGACGGGAAGGGGAGGCCGCGCGGCCCCCGTGGTCGCCACGACGGGCGACGAGAGGGGACCGCGCGCGGGCCCCCTTGGTCCCCACGACGGACGACAGGAGGGGAGGCCGCGCAGGCCCCCGAGGTCGCCATGACGGACGACAGGAGAGGACCGCGCGCGAGCCCCCGTGGTCGCCACGACGGGCGACGGGAGGTGAGGCCGCGCGGGCCCCCGGTAGCAGTAGAAACGACGGGCGCCACGGAGGGGTAAGCCGCCGCGCGTCCCGAGCGCGCGGCGGGCAGAAACCCTAATTTCGGCGCCGCGCACCACGGGGCGCGCAGCGGACAGTACGGCAGCGGAAGCGGGTGGTGGGCCCATACACAGGAAGGCGGCAGACATGCCGCCCTCTGATACCATGTGAAGTATAGTAGGAGTACGGCCTAGGCTTAGTAGCCTAGGCCACAGTAGGACTACGAACGGAGTAGCCAAGTACGAGCTAGGAGTTGTGTGCACGAACAGTATTGAGAAGGAATAGTGATTGTACTAGCAAGTAGCAGGATACAAATAGCAAACCCTAAGGGGTTGTACTCACTATTGAGTGCCCCACTGCAGGCTACACAAACAACATATTATGACACCTATAATTTTGGTTGTTTTGTTAACAAATGTTTCAAATGTGCTTGAATCCCTATATGCGTAGAGAAAAACATTCAACAACCTGAATGCTATTGTATCTTCGAGTGGCTCATGTTCAAATACATCTACCATATTAGAGCACTTTCGGCTTGGTTCGTGCGCAAAGAAAAGTTCGGCGCCTATGATTTCGGCTGTTTTTGCCGACAAATGCTTAGAAAGTGCATGGATTATTATCGGCATAAAGAAAAGCATTCAACAACCTAAATGTTATTTCATATTCGTGGCTCACGTTCAAATACACCTATTGAAGCATTTTCGGCTTGGTTCGTGCGCAAAGAAAAGTTCGGCGCCTATGCTTTCCGTTTCCGACAAATGCTTAGAAATCGCATGAATCCCTATATGCGTTTCGAAAAGCATTCAGAATGTTATTGCATATTCGACTGGCTCACGATCAAATACACCAATCATAGCATTTTCGGCTTGGTTCGTCGTCAAAAAAATGTTTGGCGCCTATGATTCCGGCTATTTTTTTCCGAAAATTGCTTAGAATGCGCATAAATCCCTATATGCATAGAAAAAGGCATTCAACAGCCTGAATATTATTGCATATTCGAGTGGTTATGCAGAGTGCACCTGTCAGGTGTATCAATGTACACCTATGTATATCGAGTTCACGATCTACAAAGCAAAGACCAGCCCGCTCGTCAGGTTTTTCCATTCAGTTTTGGAGTACGCGACTCCCTTCCCTGCTAACTGACATTTAGCCGGTAGACCTAGCGGAATGGAGGACGACGATTTCGAAGATCTCTACGGCGATGTGGGCGCGGCATCCGTCCCCGCGAGCGGCACCGCCGCTCCGGCTTCCGTGCGACTTGCGTACGACTACGGGCTGGGCGGCGACGACGACCTCGAGGATGCCGACGACGAGGCGCTGCTCTACGGCTCGTCGCTTGCCGCACCACCCGCTCCTGCGATTCCTGTACCCGTGAAACCCGAGCCTGTCGAACAGATCGCACCGCCGTCCTCTACCCCCGCCGAACCTAAGGCGGAGCCTCTTAAGTCTATTGATATTACCCCGTCGATTCCGCCCCTCGCAACCGCGTCCGCACCCAACGGCCGCGATGCATCTATCCCTTCCCCTCGCACCTCGCCGCCTGTTTCGCCTGCGGCCGCTCCTCCGTCAAATGCCGGAGAAGCTTATGACGCGGACGGCGGAGCGGCACCCGGTGCTTCGTCGACGCCATCAGTTGAAGGATTAGCCCCGCCCGCGACTGGCGGTGGATCGCAGGAGCGTGGGCGCGGCGAGGAGGAGCAAGAGGAGGCGGAGGAGGATGAGGAGGATGCGTTTTACAATCAGCTGTACGGGGGTGGGAAGGATCGTGCAGAGGAGGAGGTGGAGGAGCGCGGTGCGAGCCCCAGTGGCAGCAAGGCAGGCGGCATTGGGGGGAAAAGCCGCGGTGAGGAGGGCGAGCGGGCGGCACTGTGTGCCGACGTCGCTGGACCGACCTCGGACTCCCATGACCACTCTGCCACCGCCGCCGCTGACGCTGCTGCTGTATCGAATGTGCCTGTAGCGGGAGACGTTGAGCGGCATGACGATAAAGAAGAGTTTTTTCGGGGGATGAAAGCGGAGGGGGAAGAGGATGCGGAAGTGCGGGAGGCGGAGGAAGGGCGGATGGACGCGGGCGCAAGGGCGGAAGGTGGTGTGGTCGTGGAGAGTGCAGGGGGAGGTGACGCAGAGGGGGTTAGGGTTGGGACTGGCAGAGTGGGGGACGAGCAGGAGGCAGCAGGGGGGGAGGAGGAGGAAGAAGAAGAAGAGGATTTGGAGAAGTTTCTATACAGCGCGGGGGGCGACGATGATGGTGGGGGGGACGGTGGCGGTGATATTGGCGGAAAGGAAGGCGCGGAGGGCGAGCAGAGCCTGTACCCCTTCGCGGAGCTGGAGGCGGAAGAGGCGGAAGAGGCGGAGGCAGCGGAGGCGGCGGAGGAGGCGGGGGAAGCGGAGGCGGAGACGTTACAAGGCAAGCAGGGGAAGGCAGGGAGCGGAGCAGACGGGCGAGGCGGGGACGAGCGGGTCGCTATGGACGTTGATGGGGATGCGCGCCAAGGGCTTGGGGGGCGGGCCGGGGGAGAGGAGGAAGCGGAGGCGGGGAAGCACGAGGGAAAGGGGGAGGGGATGGAAGAGGATGGGGGGATGAAGGCGGACGAGGAAATTGGTGGCGCAGAAGGGAAGGAGGCGGAAGCGGATGGGGAAGGCGGAGCAGAGGGAGAGGGAGGGGAGGAGGAGGAAGAGGAGGAGGAGGAGGAGGAGAGTGAGGATGATGACGATGACGATCTGATCATCGTGGCCAATGACCCGGTGCCACCTGTCGGCGAGTGGGATGAGGGCATGGGGGAGGAGGGCATGTATGGCATGGGCGCAGGGGGGGAGTACGGGGGCATGCCTGGGGGCGCGGGGGGAGGCCAGGGTGAGGAAGGCGCTGAGGGCGGAGAGGGGGAGGGGGGAGGTGGCGCGGGGGGGCCGGGCACCCCGGCAGTGCAGGGGGGAGGGGGAGCAGGGCGCGGGTACCGAGTGACTCCGCCCTCCAAGGTGATTGTCTTGCTCTGCGCTGCGCTGCACCTGTCACTTGCCACCTGTCGCTTGCCACCTGTCAATTGCCACCTGTCACTTGCCACCTGTCACTGCTCGCCATGCCGTCTGTCTGCATCGTGTGCCCTTCATCATCACATCCTCCCTCCCCCAACTCCCTGCTTCCCCGATCCCCGTCCGCCCATGACTCATTCCGCCCCCACCACCCCCCGGCTCCCCTCTTCCGCAGGGCCATTCCCCCATGGGCATGGAAGGCGCAGGCATGGGCGCAACCCCCCCCGCCCCCCCTGGTTCCGCCCCTGGTGCGCTTGCAGCAGGGGGAGGGCCAGGGGGGGGTGCAGGGCAGGGTGGAGGGTGGGCAGGAGGCATGGGGGGGCGAATGGGCGCAGGGGGGCCCGCAATGGGGGGAGGGGCGGGGCAGCAGGGGCAGTACCAGCAGCAGGGGGGCGGGCAGGGGGGGAGGCCGCCGGCAGTGTGGCAGCATGGGTCGGGGCGGGGGTATCACATTGAGATTAACCTGCCGCCCACCAAGTCAGTGCCACTCTAGTGAAGCCCCCTTTATGATGCCATTACCGTTCCCTCCAGCTGCCAGTCAACACTTCTTTAGACCATTCTGAAACTTCTGTGACCATTGACTTTGGTTGACTCGTTTGACCGTGCAGGATGGTTGCTTACATGTTAACATTGTCCCTCTTGACTCGTTTGACTCGGGTTGACTGGGTTGACTGCGTTGACTGGGTGCAGGACGGTGTTTGACCTGGACATAGACAGCCTGGAGGACAAGCCATGGCGGCGGCCGGGAGCGGATGTGAGCGACTACTTCAACTTCGACCTCAACGAGGGCGCATGGCGCCACTACTGCCACCGCCTCGTATGCTCCTCGCTTCCCTTCCCTCCCCACTACTGCCACCGCCTCGTATGCTCCTCGCTTCCCTTCCCTCCCCACTACTGCCACCGCCTCGTATGCCCCTCGCTTCCCTTCCCTCCCCACTACTGCCACCGCCTCGTATGCCCCTCGCTTCCCTTCCCTCCCCACTACTGCCACCGCCTCGTATGCTCCTCGCTTCCCTTCCCTCCCCACTACTGCCACCGCCTCGTATGCCCCTCGCTTCCCTTCCCTCCCCACTACTGCCACCGCCTCGTATGCTCCTCGCTTCCCTTCCCTCCCCACTACTGCCACCGCCTCGTATGCCCCTCGCTTCCCTTCCCTCCCCACTACTGCCACCGCCTCGTATGCCCCTCGCTTCCCTTCCCTCCCCACTACTGCCACCGCCTCGTATGCTCCTCGCTTCCCTTCCCTCCCCACTACTGCCACCGCCTCGTATGCTCCTCGCTTCCCTTCCCTCCCCACTACTGCCACCGCCTCGTATGCTCCTCGCTTCCCTTCCCTCCCCACTACTGCCACCGCCTCGTATGCTCCTCGCTTCCCTTCCCTCCCCACTACTGCCACCGCCTCGTATGCTCCTCGCTTCCCTTCCCTCCCCACTACTGCCACCGCCTCGTATGCTCCTCGCTTCCCTTCCCTCCCCACTACTGCCACCGCCTCGTATGCTCCTCGCTTCCCTTCCCTCCCCACTACTGCCACCGCCTCGTATGCTCCTCGCTTCCCTTCCCTCCCCACTACTGCCACCGCCTCGTATGCTCCTCGCTTCCCTTCCCTCCCCACTACTGCCACCGCCTCGTATGCTCCTCGCTTCCCTTCCCTCCCCACTACTGCCACCGCCTCGTATGCTCCTCGCTTCCCTTCCCTCCCCACTACTGCCACCGCCTCGTATGCTCCTCGCTTCCCTTCCCTCCCCACTACTGCCACCGCCTCGTATGCTCCTCGCTTCCCTTCCCTCCCCACTACTGCCACCGCCTCGTATGCTCCTCGCTTCCCTTCCCTCCCCACTACTGCCACCGCCTCGTATGCTCCTCGCTTCCCTTCCCTCCCCACTACTGCCACCGCCTCGTATGCTCCTCGCTTCCCTTCCCTCCCCACTACTGCCACCGCCTCGTATGCTCCTCGCTTCCCTTCCCTCCCCACTACTGCCACCGCCTCGTATGCTCCTCGCTTCCCTTCCCTCCCCACTACTGCCACCGCCTCGTATGCTCCTCGCTTCCCTTCCCTCCCCACTACTGCCACTGCCTCGTACGCTCTTCCCTTCCCTTCCCCCACCCTTTCCCTCGCCCCCCCTCGCATTTCCCCTCGTACTCTCTCCATCCCCTCTTCCCTCCCCATCCTCTCATTCCTCCCCTCCTCATCTTCCCCACACGCCTTCCACCCTTCCCCCCTCCCCCCACCCCCCCCTGCCAACAGGCACAGCTGCGGCTGGAGGCGAGCATGCAGAGCCGCATCCCCGTGTTTGAGTCGCGCATGCCCACTGAGGTGAGCACTGCACTACCTCACCTCACGGTCAACGCCAGTCAACATTAGTCACTGCCAGTCAGTCAGTACTTACTTGCATTGCAGCATACTCAGTGCTCTAAGTCAATGCGAGTCAACGCAAGTCAACCGCAGAGGCATCACGCTGTGGTGCGACCCATCCAGTGAGCAACACAAGGTGGTGCAGGACGGGAGGAGTGGTAAACGTCTCACAAACCCCCCACCCCTCTCTCACTCACGCCAGCCTCCTCTCCAACCTGCCTCTCTTCCTCATGCCCCCGTTACCCCTTGGCTCATATCCCACCTCCTCTCTCCTCCCCCTCCTCCCCTCCTCTCCTCCTTTCCTCCTCTCCTCCCCCTCGCCCCCTCCCGACCTTGGCAGGACATAGACCCAGAGATGCCGCCCGAGCTGGTGACAGCTGTCACACACGCCATGGTCAGCCGCCCGCATGCCGACGCCGTCTTCTTTGTCGAGCGCCGCCCTTCCTGGGAGACACGCCGCCCGCGCCCTGTGGATGCTGACGTCATCATCGAGGTGAGGCGACTGCTGACGTCATCATAGATGTGAGGCGTCTGCTGACGTCATGGGAACATGAGGCACATCATTCATCCATGATGGTGGCTGCATGCCATGGTGATTAGGTTCCTGCTTCTCCATGCACACCACTGCGTCCCATCCCCCAGCTCAGTGCTCCCCTCCTTTCCCTTTCCTTGCCCTCATTCCCCCCCGCCCCACATGGCCTCCCGTGTGCGCGCCTGCAGGTGCCGGTAGTGGGATTGGCCATGGACGCGCCTCCACCACAGCCCCCTCCCCCCGCCGGCCCTCCTCTTGCTGCCGCCCCCCATGCTGCTGCTGCAGACGCGCACAGGGGGATGGGCGCAGCGGGGGGAGGGGGAGGGGCAGGGGCAGGGTCAGGCGGAGGGGGAGGACCTAGTGGCAGTGCAGGGGGGGGAGGTGGGAGGATGCACGGGGAGGGGCAGGGAGGCAGGGCGGTATCAGGGCAACAGGGCGCACCTGGGGGAGGGCCAGCGAGCTCAGGTGGCACCCCAGCTGTTTCTTCAGGTGCCGCTGCTGCTGCTGGCCCGCCCTCCCGCGCTGCCTCTGTGGAGGGCGCATCTGGCGCAGTGGCAGGGGGAGCAGGGGGGGGACCGCCTGGTGCCTTACCCCCGCCTCCCCCTCTCCCTCGAGGCCAGCATCCCCCCTTTCCCCCCATGTTCCCCGGGGGACCCGATGGCATGGGCATGGGCGCGGGCATGGGGGCGGGCATGGGGGCAGGGATGGGGGCGGGGATGGGCATGGGGGGGAGAGGCATGGGCATGGGGCGTGGCGGAGTGGGGGGGTTTGGCATGGAGGGCGGAGGGAGGGGGCGAGGCATGGGGCCAGGCGGAGGGCACATGATGAGGTGAGCAGGGGGGGCATGCTGTTGGGGCGAGAGAGTTACGGTGGTGAGGGGTGTTGATGTGAACTGGTATGATACGGGCAGTAGGCCATGTCTTGTAAGGTGGCGAGAGTGGTGTGGAGTGGTGTGGTGTGGTGTACTGCGCATGTTGTCTCCCCACATGTTGTCTCCCCACATGTCCGCATCTCCCCACATGCCCCATCCTCTCCCCATGCCACTGTCTCCGCACATGCCCTTCTCTCTCCTCTCCCTGCACCCTGCCATTCCCCTTCCCCTCCCCCCTCCGCATTTACTTCCCCCCACGCCCACGCTCCCCTCCATTCATCTACTCACTCCACCCTTGCTCCCCCCAACCCCCTCCCCCCTTCTCCCCCCTCCCCCAGGCCCAGTCCGCCCATGGGCATGAAGGGGGGAATGCTGCCCCCGCACATGCTGCCCCCCCATGCGCACCCCATGTTCCTCCGCGGCCCCCCTGGGGGCGCTGGCCCCATGGGCGGACCCATGGGCGGAGGCATGGGGGGAGGTATGGGCGGAGTCATGGGGGGCGCAGGGGGGCACATGGGGGGAGGCGGCAGGCGGGGAGGATTCGATATGGGGGGCGGAGGGGGTTTTTCCGGGGGGATGGGCATGCACCGGCCCCCTCTTTCGCCATCCCATGCTGCCAGCTATGCGACTGGGGGGGAGAGCATGGGGGAAGGGGAGGGGCGCGCAGGGGCAAAGTCAAGGCGCCAGGGGAGGGGGAGGGGGGGGCGGGGGGATGCAGAGGAGGAGGATGAGGAAGGGATTGGGGAGGATGAGGGTATGGGGAGGAGGAGAGAGGATAGGAGGAGGGGGCAGAGGGACTGGGAGGATGAGGAGGAGATTGAGAAGGGGAGAGGGAGAGAGGGCGGGAAAGGGCGAGGTTGGGACGAGTATGGGGGCAAGGAGAGGAAGAGGCGGAGAGTGCGGGGGGAGGAGGGGCATGAGGAAGCGGATGAAGAGTGGGAGGAGGAGAGGGGACGGCGGGGGGAGTGGAGGGGGAGGGATGGCAGGGGGGAGAGGGAATGGGGGAGGGAGAAGGGGGGCCTGTGGGGGGAGAGGGACCGGAGGGGCGGAAGGGGAGGAGAAGGGGAAGGGTATGGGCGGCGGGCAAGGGGCATGGGGAGGGAGGATGGGGGGTTTGGGGAGGGGCCTATGGGGGGAAGGGAACGAGGGGAGGAGAGGCGGGGGAGATTCAGGGGGGAGGAGGAAGGGCGGAGGGCAGGGGAAGTGGGGTGGCGGAGGGATGGGCGCGAGGGGGGTGAGGGGGGCCGAGTGTCGGGGTTTGACAAGCGGGGGGGGGAGTTTGGGGAGGGGAAAGAGGGGAGGCGGGAGAAGCGGGAATGGCCCGAGGAGAGAGGGGGCGATGAGAAGCGGAGGCGGGGCGTGGGGCGCAGGGGAGAGGACGACAAGGGAGGGGAGTTTGGGCGTGCCAAGGGAATGCGCGGAGGGGGCGAGTGGGAGGAGGAGAGGGAGGAGTGGGATGGGTGGGGAGAGAGAGGCGTGTCTGTGGAAAGGCGGGGGGGACGGCGGGGCGAGGAGGAGGGGAAGAAGCCTAGGCGGGGGGGACGCGAGGAGTGGGATGAGCGCGGATGGGAGGAGAATGTGGGCAGGGGGGAGGAGCATGCGGGGAAAAGAGGGAAGAGGGATGGGCGGGAGGGGAGGCAGTGGAGGGAGGATAGGGAGAGTGAAGGAGAGGAGGACTGGGCAGAGGGGAGGCATGAGGAGGGTGCGAGGGGGAGGGGCATGAAGGAGAAGCGAGGGAAGGGAGGGATGGAGGAGGCGAGGGGCGGAGGGGAGGCGGATGGGGAAGGGAGTTGGGCGTCTGGGGGCAGGGAAGGGCGGAGGGAGGGCGGAAGCAGGCGGAGGAGAGGTGGCTCGAGTGAAGGAGGGGAGGAGCTGGAGAATGGAGGGGCGAGGGGCGCGCAGAGGGGAGAGGGCAGGGCAGAGGAGAGGGCAGCAGAGAGAGGAGAGGGGAAGGGCGGAGGGAGGGGTAAGGGGAAGGGGGCTGCGGCAGAGAGGGAGGAAGGAGGTGAGGGCGAGAGGAGGCGGGGGCGGAGGGAGAAGAGGGAAGAGAATGAAAGGGATGAGGAGGATGGTAGCGAGGGTCGAGAGCAGAGCGAGAGAAAGGAGAAAGATGGAGAGGAGAGAGGGGAAGAGGAGGGCAGGGAGGGTAAGGAACGTGAAGGAAGAGAGGGGGAGCAGGAAGATGAGGAGGAGGAGGATCCGGGGGGGGACGCGGTGGACTATGGCAGCATGTGGGACGCTGATGGCGAGGGGGATGTGGGGATGCACCCCATAGAGGGTGGTGGGGGTGACAGGGGAGACGGGGCGGATGGGGTGGGTGGGAAGGGTGATAGGGGTGAGAGGGATGGGAGGGGTGGAAGGAATGGAGAGGGCCGGGATGATGGAGACAGCGATGGGGAGAGCGAGAGGGAGGGCAGGGGGAATGACGTGAGGCGGAAGGAAAGGGGGAGAGAACGGGAGAATGTGCAAGAGAAGGGCAGGGAACACGAGAAAGAGGGGAGGAAGGGGCGGGAGGGGGAGGAGGTAGCAAGAAGAGAGGCAGAGGAGGAGGGGCGTGGCAACACAGTCATTGAGCGCCCTCCCACCCCAGTAAGTCCGTGCCTTGCCTTCACGCACCCCCCATCACTCCGTCGCCTCGTGACCTCACCATCATGTCATGTCGTCACCCCGTCGCCCCTTCACCTTGTCGCCCCTTCACCCCGTCGCCCCGCCGTCCTTTCACCCCTTGGCCCCATTGCTGCATTGCCCCATCAAACCATCACACCATCACCCAATCACCCCTGGCCCACTCTCGTTCTCATTGCCTTTCCCCACACCCTCACCTCCCCATCCCCCCCTCTCTCCCCTTCACCCTTCCTCTCCCCCCCATGTCCGCCCTCCTCCCTCCCCTCTCCCTGACGTCAGACTGTTGACATTGACGATGCTGACGTGGCAGTGCCAGCTGGCGCGGAGGAGGGGGGAGAGAAGGAGAGGAGGAAGCATGGGGAGCAGCCGGGAGAAGGAGGAGCGAGGGAGAGGGATCGAGGTGGTGGGGCCGGGGAGAGAAGGGAGAGAGGGAAAGGTGGGGAGGAGGGTGACAGGGGAGGGTCGGAGGGGGAGGGAGGCGCAGGAAGCAGAGAGAATGGTGGGGGAGACGAGCGAGCGGAGCAAAAAGGTGGGGAGAGAGGAAGGGAGGAAGCAGCAGCAGGAGGCGGGGAGGAGGAGGAGGAGTATGATGATGAGCTGGCGTTTGAAGGGGAGGACTATGGTGACGTGTATGAGGAGGAAGAGGAAGAGCAGGAGGGGGATGAGGAGGAGGAAGGGGGCAGGGAGGGCAGGGAGAGGCAGAGAGGCAGATGGACACGGGAGAGGGGTGATGATGATGCTGATGGTGCTCATGGTGCTGCTGCCTCTGGCGCCGGCAGACGCTCCTCCCCCCATGCGCACACTCACCTGCACGAAGGAAGGTTCCATGAAGGCGGGAGGTATGGCGGAGGCCGGGGCAGGGGCGGGAGAGGAGGGCCAATGGGTCCTGGGCACATGCATGCCCCTGCCGCTGGACATGCGTATGGGGGCAGGCACGGGCGGCATGGGCGAGGCAGATGGATGGGGGGGCGCATGGGGCCCAGGGATATGGGCATGGGGATGGGTATGGGCATGGGAATGGGCATGGGTATGGGCCCGGGTATGGGGGTGGGCATGGGTGGGATTGGTCCTGTTGCGAGTGGGGGAGGTGGCATGGTGAAGGGCGGGAGGATGATTGGTGGGGGTGTGGGGGGAAGGGAGGAGTATGGGCATGGGCCCCCCATGGGCTATGGGCGAGTGCCTGTGGATGCGCCACTTGGTAGGATGGGAGTGGACGGTGGGGGATTCGGCAGGAGGGGAGGGGAGGTGCTGGGACGAAGGCAGGAGGGGGCGAGGGATGGTGGGGTGGGGATGGGAGAGAGGGAGGAGAGGGATAGGGAGGGAGGGGAAAGGAGGGGGGCGTGGAGAGAGGAGCGGGAGGAGAGAGGTGAGAGGGGGGAGAAGGGCGAGAGGGGTGAGAGGGTGAAGGAGAAGTGGAAGGAGGAGCGAGAGAAGGAGAGGGGCTTAAAGGAGGAGCGTGGAGGGAGTGTGGGTCCGGAGTCAGATAGGAGTGCGCGGAGAGGTGTGAAGGACGAGAGGGGTGAGAGGAGGGAGCGAGGTGAGCGGAGGGAGAAGGATGAGAAGAGTGAGAAGGGCGAGAAAGGTGAGAGGGGTGGACGAGGGGATAAGGGGGAGAGGGGGGGGCGAGAGAGGGAAGAGAGAGAGGGAGGAATGGAGAGGGTGAGTGAGGAGGGGAGAGGCAGAGATAGGCACAAGCAGAGGGGGAGGGAGAAAGTCGGGGAGAAAGAAAGAGGAGAGAAAGAGCGGGAGCGAGAGAGGGGAAGGGAGAGGGGAGCAAGTGTGGGTGAGGAACGCGATAGGGAGGTGGCAGGCAGGGGGGAGGAGAGGGCGGGGATGAAGGCAGACAAAGAGGGGAGGCGAGGCGAGAGGGACGGGTGGAGAGGTGGTGAGGGGGTGGTTCGAGAGGGGGCCGGGCGAGAGGGTATGGGCCGAGAAGCGATGGGCAGCGAGGGTGCAGGCAAGGAGGGTCCTGTGGTTGACCTGCGGGCGCAGCTGCGCGCGGAGAAGGAGAAGGGGCGTGGTGGGCGCGGCCGGGACAAGGACGTACGGGACTGGGAGGGCGACGAGCGGGAGGAGAGGAGCCGCGAGCGCGGGTGGGGGAGGGATGAGAAGGAGAGGGGCAAGGAGCGAAGCAAGGAGAGGGGAGGGGGCGGTGGGATGGAGGGATTGGGCGAGGCAGCAGGGGAGAGGAGACGTGGAGGAGAGGCACGCGAGGGGGAGAGGGGCGAGCGACATGCACACAGAGGCGTGGGTGGTGCTGTGGAGGACGGCAGGCGGACAGGCACCGCGCCCCGCTCGCCCTCACCCACTGCTGCTGACACCACTGGCGCTGCAGGTGCTGGTGGCGGTGGAGTGCGGCGCAGTGCGGTGCAGCGCACGGATGGGCACCTGGTGGTGCAGGTGGGGGGCCGCACGGGGGAAGGGGCCACGGAGAGGCGGGGAGGGGGGGCGTGGCGGGAGAGTCAGGGCCACCTAGTGGTGCACATGGGGAGTGGGGGCGGGGGAGGGGATGGTCGCAGGGCGAGTGGGGGGGAGGAGGGTGGTGCAGGCGCATATGGCGGGGCGAGTGGTGCAGGGGGGAGGAAGCGCAAGTCAGATGACGGTGGGGACAGGCGCAGTGACAGGGAGGGAGCGAGCGAGGGAGGGGGGGGAGTGGGGATGGGGGGAGAGGCGGGCAGCATGGCAAGTGGTGGGGCAGGTGGCAGGGCGGAGGGGGAAGGGGCGGGAGGAGGGGAAGGCAAGACGGAGCGGCCCGCACGCAAGAGGCGGTGGGCATGAAGGTCAGGGCAAGGGTGGGTGGGGTGGGGCGGTGGTGAGGGGAGCTGGGGGCTTGCGAAGTGCAGGAGTGGCGGATTCCAGGACGGGTGAGGGGGGGATCAGGGATAGCCAGGGGATAGGGGGGGGTGGAGGAGGGGTGGTGTGGTGGCAGTGGTGGTGAGGCACGAGGCGGGGCTGCGTGGTGGTGTGGGGGAGTGTGAGTGAGGGCATGCCCCCTGTGCGCCCCACATGTCCCTGTGCACTGTTGGCGGAGCATCATAGCATCATAGCAGTGGGCAGGTCCGTGTGCGCCGTTGCGTTGCAGCGCGTGCGCGTGCGCATGCCCCCGGCACGCACGTTGGCGGAGCATCGTAGCGGCTCATGCGGGTGGCGCGTGGTGCAGAGAGGGTGCGATGCGGAGTGCGCTATTGGGGCGCGTGGGAGGCGAAGTGTGAGTGGAGTGACAAGCACGTGGTGGAGGGAAGAGAGGCTGCCATGCTGTGTGTGTGTGCTGCCGTGTGTTACTGGGATGCTTGTGCCAGCTGCAGCCCGTGAGGGCCTGCTGTCCCACCATGCTCTAATGAGCAACCCACCCAACCCCGCTTGTAGCACCCTCTGCCGTCTTGCAGCCTGCCTCAGGCATCCGCCACCCTGCGACGTGTTAGCACTCTGTTTCTTGTGCCTGGATGCTCTGGATCGACCTTGACTGACCGTTGACTTGCTTGACTTTGTTTGACTCGACACATGCATGTTTGCGACTCGGCGTGTGCATTACTCTTAAAGGCTGCTGCATGTGTAGTGTTAGGCGTGTGCTGTGCATTACTGTGGGTCGTAGGTGTAGGCTGATCTGATGCAGGGTCCAGTCCAGGGTGCATGCGTAGCATGTGTGCAGGTGGAGCAGAGGATTGAGTCGAGCATGTGCCACGGCACAGCACGCACGATGCCGCGTGTGTGAGGTGAGGGGCGTCTAGGGGCCAACAGCACAGGGTAGGGGCGTCAAGGGGCCAACAGCACAGGGTAGGGGCGTCAAGGGGCCAACAGCACAGGGTAGGGGCGTCAAGGGGCCAACAGCACAGGGTAGGGGCGCCAAGGGGCCAACAGCACAGGGTAGGGGCGCCAAGGGGCCAACAGCACAGGGTAGGGTAGCCACCGGGAGGCCGGCTCAAAAGGGTGCAGGTCTCACAGCAGCCCCGCCCATCGAAGCAGCAGTAGACTGTCTGTCACTTAAAGCTTCAGAGCTGGCACACTAAATTCAGAGCAGAGCACACTAGGGTGCAGATCAGTTGGGTGCTGCTGCACTGGCCATCATCCAACACAAGCAGGGAGGTCGGGGTGGAGACCGGGAGTGCAGCAAGCAATGACCACTCCCATTGGACACATGAGGCGCCACTGCAGCTGCTGCCACGTCTATACAGTACTAGCTCTAGTATCTGCCGGGCACACGCAGCACAGCAGTATAGGTAAAGGGCAGTAGAATGGCTCCCGTGCAGCAACTCTAGAGACTAGCTCTAGGGCAGCAAAGAGATGTAAGCAGGATGGCGTGTATAAGTCTGTGGTGTAGTGTGGGATCTGGCAGCCGAGCCCCCTCGGGGTACCATGTGCTTACAGGAGTGGGTGAAAGAAGACGGCCGTTAGGGATGACATGACAACAGTGATCTGGCCTAATCACCAATCAGTGCAGCTACACAACCATAGGCTGTTGCTAGGCCCATATATATTAACATAATTGCCCTTACGGCCACAATATGGGCAGCCAGTGAGTGCAACGGCATGAGGGCAGTGCAGAGGGTGATGAGACGTGCATGGGCGAGCTGGGTGATGAGACGTGCATGGGCGAGCTGGGTGATGAGACGTGCATGGGCGAGCTGGGTGATGAGACGTGCATGGGCGAGCTGGGTGATGAGATGTGCATGGGCGAGCTGGGTGATGAGACGTGCATGGGCGAGCTGGGTGATGAGACGTGCATGGGCGAGCTGGGTGATGAGACGTGCATGGGCGAGCTGGGTGATGAGACGTGCATGGGCGAGCTGGGTGATGAGACGTGCATGGGCGAGCTGGGTGATGAGATGTGCATGGGCGAGCTGGGTGATGAGACGTGCATGGGCGAGCTGGGTGATGAGACGTGCATGGGCGAGCTGGGTGATGAGACGTGCATGGGCGAGCTGGGTGATGAGACATGCATGGGAGAGCAGGCGTGTGATGGGTGCACAGGGTGGGGGTCATGGCATGAGCGCTGCGATGTATGCCAGTGATATCAGCACCGCCTCCTGCATGCATAGGGTGGGGGGGAACGGATGAGAGGCATGGCATGGCATGGTATGGCATGGTATGGCATGGCATGGTATGGCATGGCATGGTATGGCATGGCATGGTATGGCATGGCATGGTATGGCATGGCATGGCATGGTATGGTATGGCATGGCATGGTATGGTATGGTATGGCATGGCATGGTATGGTATGGTATGGCATGGTATGGTATGGTATGGCATGGCATGGTATGGTATGGTATGGCATGGTATGGTATGGCATGGCATGGTATGGTATGGCATGGCATGGTATGGTATGGCATGGCATGGTATGGTATGGTATGGCATGGCATGGTATGGTATGGCATGGCATGGTATGGCATGGCATGGTATGGTATGGCATGGCATGGTATGGCATGGCATGGCATGGTATGGTATGGTATGGTATGGCATGGTATGGGAACGGGCATAGTGCATACAGAGAGTGAGGGCCGTCACCGCAGCAACAAGTCTGAGCGTGCACCGCACTGCACCGCATTGCACCGCAACGAACACATACAGCACAAGCCACCCATACCGCATACCCCATCCACTCATGCAACACAAGCCCAGCACTCTCACTTCACCCTGCCAGGCTGCCACTCCCCCCTTCCCCAACAACCCCCACATTTCCCCCGCCTCGCCTCACACCCCAACCCTCCTCCACTCCCCCATCCATTCCCACACTGCACCATTCTATCCCCCCTAAAGAGCGCACCTCAGTGCGGATGGTGCGCGAGCCCTGGAAGGGGCACGTGTTGAGGTACAGCTGGCACAGCTGCCTGGGGTCCCTGCCGTCCGCAGCCAGCCCCTCGTCGCCCTCACACGCCTCCTCCAACCCCGCCACGCCGCCAAACACCACCAGCAAGTGCCTGCCGTGAGGGGAAGGAGGGAGGGTGCGGCGGGAAGGAGGGAGAGGAGAGGACATGGAGGACTGGCACGGAGGAGCAGAGGAAGCGAGTTTTGAGACGTGTGGAGCAGTGAGGAGGGGAAAGGGGGGGGGGTATACCGGAAGGGGGGCAGTTTGAAGTGTCCGATCTCCTTCACATCCCCATGCTCCGATGTCCCTACGATCAGATCGTACGCGCCTCCCCCCCCTGCTCCTCCCCCTTCTGCTCCCGCTTCTCCCCCTCCTACCTGCCCACCCTCACCCCCACCCCCCTCCCCATACAACCCTCGCTTCGCCCCTCTCTTCCTCCCCCCTCGCCGCCTCCTCTTCTTCCCCCGCCCCTCCTCACCCTCCTCCCCTCCGTCTCCCCCGCCCTCCCTTCCCTCCCCTCCTTCCGCCCCTTCCCCCTCCCCCCCACCCCCACTCCCCCCCACCGCAGCAGCATCAAAGCTGCGCCCCTCCCCCGCCCCTTTTCCCCCGTGCCCCGCGCCCCCTGCTCCCCCCTCCGCGGAGGCAGGCGCGGGGGAGAAGGGGCAGGCGGAGAGGGCGCCAGAGACGCCCCTGGCAAGGCGCACAGTGTACCCCCAGTACTGCCCCCTCTCCCCCCACGGCACCTGCGGGGCCACAGGCGTCAGCAGCACTCCTGGGGGGGTGTTTGAGGGGAGGAGGGAAGGAGGGGTGCAGAGATGGATTGATGGAGGTGGTGAGGGTAGTGGAGGGAGGCGAGGGAGGGAGGGAGGGAGGGAGGGAGGGAGGGAGGGAGGGAGAGGGGGCAGTGACGAATGTGGTGCAGTGTGCATCCCATCCCATGAGCCGCCTCACCAATGCACCGCTGACCTCCCCACTCTTAAACACATCCCATCCTTCAATCCCCCACCTCCACTCCACCCCCCTGCACCCCTCCGCACCCCCCCCCCCCCCCCCCCCCGCCCCCCCGTCTCCCCCTCACCTGGCTGAAACACCTTCTCTCGCTCAGCCACAGGCCCCATGGCCACTGTCAGCCGCGTGCCTTCCGAGAAGCTTCCTCGCACACGCACCCTCTGCCATGGATGTACGCACATGGGGTTTTTCAGAAGGGGAGGAGGCAGCCATGTGGGAATGTGAGAATGTGGGAATGTGAGAATGTGAGAATGTGAGAATGTGGGAATGGGGGGATGTGGGAATGTGGGGATGTAGGAGTGTGGGAATGGGGAATGGGGGGAGGAACGAAGGGGGATGGCAGGCGAGTGCAGGAGAACGGGGCAATGCATTTCAAACGGCCCGCATTCCTCCCTCTGCTCTACAACAACTCCCCTTCCTCCCAACCCCCAGCTTCACTCCCCCCTCCCCCCCACCTGCTGCAGCCCCACGTCCACGGCGCAGCTCCCCCCTGCGCGCGCTTCTCCCCCTTCCCCCTCCCCGTCCGCCACCACGACGCCCTCGCGGAACTCCGGCCACTCGTGCATGCGCGCGTGGTGCGGCGCGTCCAGCGGCGGCAGCAGCCCCGCCAGGCGCAGGTCGGGCGTGAGCGGGATGAGCGCGCGGCGGAGGTACTGCGGGGTGTCGAGGTACTGTAGCACGCGCGCAAGGAAGGATCCCGCGGACCCCGAGAAGCGCTCCCCGCGCCACCCGCGCGGCGCGCTCGAGTCGCCCTCCGCGTCCCAGTCGTCGTACACGACAATCTCGTGCACCTTGAAAATGACGGCGGCGCGCGCGATCTGCCCCGCTACCTGCGCCGGGGGTTGGGGGATTAGACGAGACGATTAGCTGAGTACGACAAGAAGAATCGACGGACAAGCGATGATAGCGGCGTGTTGAACATGTTATGCCGGGCTGAACACGAAAGGGTGTGCGAAAGAGAAGGCGCGCGTGGAGACGAGGGCTGAGGGCTTATCGCGTGGAGACGAGGGTTGAGGGCTTATTGCGGGGACAACGAGGCCACAGGCAGCGCTTAGGAGCTCACGGTTCGAGATTTAGGAACGCGATCTCCGTGTGGGGGGGGAGAGGGGAAAGGGGGGGGGGGGGGGGGGGGGTGGGGGGGGGGGGGGGGGGGGATGGAGGGAGGGAATGCGCGAAGAAGCAGCGGAATGCGCGGGAAAACGGCGGGGAGGAGGCGTACGGCGGTGGCGCGTTCGAGCGACTGCGTGTTGTCGATGATGGACCCCGGCACCGCGATCGATACCGTCGCCCGCTGTCCCCCGGCCGGCTCGTTCGCCTCCGCGTTGCCCCCCATCGTTACCTTAGCTGCGGGGCGTGCAGGATTGGAAATGGCTCGGGGTTGGGGGTGAGCTGGGGATCCAAGAGGGGCCAATTTGTTTTGTGAGTGCAGTGGAGAAGAAACCCATGCAAGTATCACAGGTTCAATGCGGTGCAGGACAGACATTTTCGAAGGCAATTTGCGACCATACAGCACGGCACGCCACGAGCAGGAATTGATTCGCCCACGGCTCAACAATGGTCGCAGTGTGAACGCGGCAACGCAGCGCTCTGCTGCCTCAGTTGCGCCTGCGCCGTCCACCATGCAACTAGCCACGAGATTCACGACGCCCCTCGCCCACCGCGCCCGCCCGCCATCCGCGCTTCTCCGCGCGCTTCTGCCGCGCGCCCGTGGTCACGTCTCTTACAGTCACACGTGCTGCCCACACTCCTTTTCGCCGCCCCTCCAATCCGCGCCCTCCTCTCGCCGCAATGCGCTCCATGCTTCTCGCCCCTTCCGTCAACGAATAATCACACTAGCCGGCAGCGAACGACTGCGCGATAGTCCTGCCGACCGATTAGTTTCAGCGGATTCTTGGTCGCAGTTATTGCCGTCAGCCAATGACGGGGTGTCACGTGTCCTTTGCCGGACGGAGCGCGCCTTGGCCTGGCTGGCGCGAGAGCTGGCGGAAAGAATTGGCGGAGAGGGTGAGGGGGGGAGTGGCGGCGAGGCGCGCGGATCGGGGGAGCGGAGCGGCGGCGCAGTGGGGGTGGGGGACGTGGTGTGCCTGCAGGGGGATGTGGGCGCGGGGAAGACCACTTTCTGGTGCGCCTTGGGTGAAGTGGGGGAAGAAGAGGGGGAGGAAGGCGGGAAGGCGGGGAAAGGATAAAAAGGGAGGGGTAGGAGGGGAGGAGGAGGTTCCGTTGGGATGGATGGGGTGTCTGTGACCGTTGTGGCATGTGCCACGTGCCTGCCTGCCAGCATCTCCTCATGCGCACGTCCTGCCGTGCTTACCCCTGCCGTGCTTACCCCTGCCGTGCTTACCCCTGCCGTGCTTACCCCTGCCATGCTTACCCCTGCCGTGCTTACCCCTGCCGTGCTTACCCCTGCCGTGCTTACCCCTGCCGTGCTTACTCTTGCCGTGCATGCACACATGTGGTGGCACGTGCTCTCACGTGTCCTGCATGGGTGCCTACCCCATGTGCGACGCAACCCTTCCTCCGTACCTGCCGCCCGCCCAACCCCTCCTCCAGCCGGCACTTGATCCGAGCGCTCACGGGCGACCCGCACCTCATCGTCACCTCGCCCACCTTCCTGCTGCTCAACTCCTACCCCTCGCCCGCCCTGTACGCCCCATTGCACCATGCCGCCCCTCATTGCCTTAGCCCCATGCCGCCCCTCATTGCCTTAGCCCCATGCCGCCCCTTATTGCTTTAGCCCCATGCCGCCCCTCATTGCCTTAGCCCCATCTCTTCATTCTCCATTCCTTGTGAATTCTTCCCCCCTGCTCCACTGCCCCTACGGCCTGCTCTCCCCACCTTACCCCTGCTCGCACAAGTCAGCGCAACCAATCCCACCCCCCTATCGCATTCCCTCTTCCTGCTCTCCCCCCACAGCACGGTGCATCATTACGATGCCTACCGCCTGGGTGCCCTGCGCACTGCCACACCAGCGCCTGCAGCAGCAGCAGCAGCAGCAGCAGAATCGCCCGACATTCAGCGCCTGGACCTCGCACACTCGCTTGCCACCGGTACTCCCCACCCGCTCTCCTCGCCCTTCCCTGCTTGCCTCACGCCACCTCGCTTGCTCTCCCCGTGCTCCTTCCACCCTCCCCACCTGCTCCCTCCTTCACCTTCCGATTCTCAGCACCTCACACCCCCCATACCGTTTCTCCATCCCCCCATCTGCCCGCATCTCACTCCCTCGCCCCATTCCGCCTTCATCATTCTCCCCTTCCCCTCTCCCCCTACCCCCTCCTCGCCTCTCCATCAGGGCTGTGTTTGATCGAGTGGCCACAGCCACTCCTCCCTCTGCTGCCCGCCCACCGCCTCCACCTCTCCATCTCCCTCCTGCCGCCCGCGCCGCATCCTCCGGGCGGCACACATGAACCCGATGTGCTCCCCATGGGCCGGCCAACAGCAGGGGTGACAGGAGGGGCGGCAGAGGGTAGGGCAGAGACTGGGGAGGAAATGATTGGTGGGGAGGAGGGAAGGGAGGGGGGCAAGCGGGGAGCGGAGGATGGAGAGGAGTGGGAGGAGCAGGGTGGGTGGGAGCATGAGGAGGAAGAAGATGCGGAGGGGGAGTGGTGGCGGGTGGTGCATCTGGATGCTAGTGGGGAGCCATGGACTGCTGTGATTGATGCTGTAGTGGCCTCGGCACGCTTGTCCCCTCTTGTAACCATCCTATGATGCTCTTATCACGCCTGGGATTGTTTCATGGCCAGCACCTCGTTCACAGCCGAACCCTCTTTATGGATGCAAAAGGTCAAGCAGAGAGCATTGTACGAGTTGAATCATCCTGGAAAGACTCCTCCAGCGGAGCCCTTACCAGCAAAGAACGTACCATATCATTCCATAACTCCCTTGGGTAAACAACCTCTGCGACAGTCAAGAGTTGTGTTGTGATAGAGGAGCAAAGCAGAACAGGTTGGAGCAGAGCAGTGCTTAGCGGGGTGCTGCACCCTCAGCACCATCCGTTCTGCAGCCTCAAGTGGTAATGCACACTTCTAAGCTACATGCACTCATTGGCCCATATCCTTCCTGGGCTGCACTGCCAAGAAAGCGGGCTTCCGTAATCCGAAGCGATACGGTAACTCGCTTCCCTTATGCTATTTGCTATCTTGCTCTTATTGTAACCCCGCCCCTCCTGTTCCCCTGCTCAGCTCACATTTTTCCCTCCTCCCTTTCCCCACTTTTTTAGTATTCCTCTCCTTCCCATGTTTCCCTCCCTACCTCCCTTGTTCCTCTACTTCCCGTGTCCCCCTTGTTAGAATCCCAAGTGGGACTTAGCAAAGGTTCGCTCAAGGTTGATCGCAGAGTAGTGTTGCAGCAGAAGATTTGAATCTAAGGTCAGAGTGAATGTAAATGGCTGAGTTGATAATAGCATGCATACATCGAGTTTATGTAAGAGTACAGAGGAATACGAAAAGACCTAGACTAGCCATGTACTCTGTTACGAATAGTAATACTTGAATATTACTGTGCACTCCTCACCGCAGCAAAGAGAAGCACGCAGTATCGCGAATGAACGCGAAGCGTCAGACGATTGGAATCGACTCGAAGCGTCAGACAGTTGGGACGCATCTGGACCGTCGGAGCAGACAGCATCAGGCAGCTGCAGGCAGGATGGTTTCGGCAGGAACAGTTTCGTAACTGTTCGCGCCGCACGGTTGGGAATGTATTTGAATAAGGGAATGTATTTGAGTACATGGCTAGCTAGGTCGTTTCATCTCCCCTGTACTCATATTTATATTTGCTGTATTTGCATGTTTTAAATCATCTCAAAGCATTTTACATTCACTCTGCTATTGAGGTCAAGGGCCCACCAACATCACTTCTCTGCGTGCGAACCTTCCTGAGTAGATCATAGGCCACGATCAACTTCTGATCGCAGCATGGTATGAGAGCGGCTCGGGAATCCTTCGCACTGCCACTCCTGAAAATTACGACATTCGGAAAGTGGCGTCCGGCACACGCTCGCGTGGGAGAATGGCCGGAGGATCTGGTGGTCAAACGAATCTGACAGCTGAAGCGCAGCCCAACCCGGCTGCGACAAGCGAGGAAACGACGACGATCCCTTCCGCCGTCCTCGCACAACTGCTTCAGCGACTCACGAGCCTGGAGCAAGGACTCCAAACATTGCGGAATGGCGACGCGGGAACCTCTTCCCAACCCACTCAACCGGCGTCAAACGGCCAGAACTCCGCCCCGCAAGGCTTCTCCCTAGATACGAATGGCTCAACCCCCAAGACTCCCTGTCCCAGCGATGAAGCAATTCTCTCCGCGCAATCAAGGTTTTTGAGCATATCAAAAATAAAGACAAGTGTTTGCTTTGACGGCAAAGACTTTTACACCTGGAGCTTCGAGCTGGAGCTGCTGCTGCAAAACGCGCAGATTTATCATTATTTCGACGGGAGCTACTCGGGACCTGCTGAGGACACCGACGACGCCAGGACTCGCTATTATAACGAGTCCCTGATGGCGTACGGGATTCTTCTGCGTAACATGTCGCCGGCGGAGCAGCTGAACATTCGTTCATACAAGACATCGGCTGCCCCAGCCCTCGACGCTTGGCGCCACCTGAACGGCGTGTATCAGCCCAAGGACTCCGTCTCCTCGAGCCGACTACTCCAGCAACTGCTGGAAACTAAGATGACCTTAGGGGAGAAGGTCAACAGCTACATCAACCGCTGTCGGAGCCTTCGCGATCAAATCGTGAAGTTGGGAAGCTCGATTTCCGAGGAAATCTTCGTGAACATTGTGCTTCAAGGGCTTGGCCCAGAGTGGCGGCCCTGCAAGACGCTACTTCGACAGCAGGGGGTAATCTCGGAGGCCGCCCTTTGCGCCGCCCTTTGCGCCGCCCTTCTCGTCGAACAAAGGGATATGGATCAGCAGCGACCAGCGCCACGACGAGAACGCGAACGGCTCGCCTTCTACGCCGACAACAATAAAGAGCGACGACTGCGGCGCCTCTACTGCAAAATCTGCAGAAACTTCGGGCATTTGGCGGATCGATGTAAGTTCCGATCTCGCCCTCGCCAGACCAATCTGAGCAACTGGTCTGGCCGACAAGACGCACGAGGCGACGTGCGTCCAGCCCAAGGGTATCAACCCCCACCCGCGCGCAATCTGAACTCAACCGTTCAGCATCAGCAGCAGCAGCCATCAACTGCCCCTACGCGCAACGTCATGAGCAACATGGCCATGACAAGCGAGTCACGTCGTCGCCGTGTTCGCTCACCCTCACCTGAGCCAGCACCGCACCCCATCGGCGCGTTCACCAACAACAACCCGTTCAGCCCGCGCCGCGACTTCAATGACGACGACGACCAGGACTGGAACCCCCCAGTCCCGCTGCTTGAAAGTCCCCCGCACATACCAGACATGCGGGTGGCGCCACTTGATTGGCTCTCACGCGAGCAATTTCTGAAGTTCGACACCCCGCACATCGTCACACCCCGATTGGCGCTGCTCGCACGTGACGACAACAAGCGCTACAACACCTGGCACCTAGACAGCTGCTGCGGCCAGCATATGGTGGGCTCCGAGCGTTACATATCCAACGCCGTCCCCACCCCTACAGTCACTTACGTCACTGTGGCGAACAACATGCGCCTGCGCGCAAGCGCACAAGGCATTGTCGTGCTCAAAGCACGTGGAAGCCGCACGCACATCACGCTTAACGTGTCAGAACATTATAGCTTACTCTTTTCTGTAGGCTATAGTGGGGTATCCCATAGGGGGTACAACCCAATTAGGGTTTCCCATTTGTACTCACTTCGTTCATAGTCATTTCATTCTCGTTCAGTTTTCCTCATGGTATCGAGCAGGTTCCCCTGTGGGAACTGTGCCTAGGGCCCACCACTCGAAATTATTTTTTTCCTGCCCGAAGCGCACTCATCCCGAGTCGCGCCTCGGGCCACTCCTTCCCCGAGCCGCCCTAGCGGCCGGCCTTACCCTCGCGGCCCCGCCACCCTGTGAACGCGGCCCCGCCGCCTCTTCTCTAGCGGCCTCGCCGCCCTGCTCTCGCGGCCCTCGCCGCCCTTACTCACGCGGCTCCGCCGCCCCTGATCTCGCGGCCCCGTCGCCCCTGCTCCAGCGGCCCAGCCGCCCCTGATCTCGCGGCCCCGCCGCCCCTGAACTAGCGGCCCTCGCCGCCCCTGATCTCTCGGCCCCGCCGCCCCAGCGCTCCCGGCCCCGCCGCCCCTGATCTCGCGACCCCGCCGCCCCAGCGCTCCCGGCCCCGCCGCCCCTGATACGCGGCCCCGCCGCCCCAGCGCTCGCGGCCCCGCCGCCCCTGATCTCACGGCCCCGCCGCCCCAGCGCTCACGGCCCCGCCGCCCCTGATCTCGTGGCCCCGCCGCCCCAGCGCTCCCGGCCCCGCCGCCCCTAATCTCGCGGCCCCGCCGCCCCAGCGCTCCCGGCCCCGCCGCCCCTGATCTCGCGGCCCCGCCGCCCCAGCGCTCCCGGCCCCGCCGCCCCTGTTACGCGGCCCCGCCGCCCCAGCGCTCCCGGCCCCGCCGCCCCTGATACGCGGCCTCGCCGTCCCTGATCTCACGGCCCCGCCGCCCCAGCACTCATGGCCCCGCCGCCCCTTGCTCTCGCGCCGCCCAACTGCAGCAGCCGAGCCGCCCAACTGCAGCAGCCGAGCCGCCGGACCGCCGATCAGCAGTGCAACCGAGCCGCCCTTGCACCCGAGCCGCCCGGCAGCCGAGCCGCCCCGCCCGAGCCGCCCTACCGCCGAGCCGCCTGGGAGCCGAGCCGCCCGGGAGCCGAGTTGCAGAGTAGCCGAGCCGCCTTTTCTACCGAGCCGCCCGACCTGCCCTGCCCGGTGAGCACTGTACCGCTGTCACTGCGTGCCCTTCCCTACTGCTTGCACTGCTTCACTGTCGTCGTCATGGCTACCCCTAGTGTCCTCGCTTTTGACGCTGAGGGTCGAGCCATAGACTTCGAGGTATGGCTCGACGACCTGCAGCTGTTTTTACAGTGCGATAGGGCGGACGGTCTGTCTCTCTTTGACCTCACCTCTGGCGCCGTCCCTTCCCCTGCTGCTGATGCTGACGCCACTGTTCGCTCACAGTGGGCCACGCGCGATGCTGCTGCACGTCTTGCTGTGCGTCGCCACTTGCCAACCGCTGAGCGCGCGCACTTTAGCCAGTACAAGAGTGCTCAGACCTTGTACGACGCTGTAGTTGCGCGCTACTCCTCCCCTGCCACCGCTGCACTGAGCCGCCTCATGCTCCCCTTCCTCTTCCCTGACCTTGCCGCCTTTCCCACTGTCGCTGATCTCGTCACGCACCTCCGCACTAGTGACACTCGCTACCGCGCTGCGCTTCCTGCTGACTTCTGCGCCAAGAACCCCCCCCCCATGTACATCATTCTCTACTTCTTAGTCACTCGCCTCCCTGACTCCCTTCGTGTAGTCCGGGACCACATCCTCGCAGTCTGTCCCACCACCCTCACAGTCGATAGCCTAGAGAAGGCCCTCCTTACGGCAGAGAAGAGCATAGTCGCTGTAGGTGCCTCTCGAGGTGACCCCCGCGCCCCCATCTTTGAGGGGTGTTCTCCTTCCCCTCTCCTGCCCTCTGTCGCCTCTGCCGCTGCGGCCGACCTCGTTGGTCTTGAGTCGGTCGGTGCGGCGTCTGCCCCTAGCGGGAGACGCCGCTCTGGCAAGGGCAAGGGGGGCAAGG